AATTTGTGACCCTCCGGCTCACTCGTTATTCATCTTTTTATTTTTTTTTATTTTTTTTATGAATTCCTACACAATAACAAGCTGTGTTAGATCAATCGAAGCATGTTTGATACACAATATTGGATAGAAGTCGACATATAGGAAGTCCTAATTATTGTTGATGCACATGAGACAACTAATGTGAAATGCAAAGCTACCTGGTATGCAGATGCATATCTTGGATAATCAAAATAATCGGACTGCCTGTCTCGTTCTTTCTGGATGAAATTGTAGTACCATAATGAACTTGCCCTCTTGAGGATTATAGGCATCATGGTCGTAAAACCCTTCAATCAGACAATCAGGAGCAAAAGCCATTGGAAAAAAACAGTTGAACTAGAGCCAATCGCTTTACGCCTTGATGATGTAAACTATTCAGCAAAATCTCCATTTTTTCCTTGTCTAAAGAATCTTCAAACCATTTATGCAAAAGAGTATTATCCAGTACCCTAACCACGATTCTCTCTTGTGAACATTTCTTGGAGAGCTCTTACCAGTATTTTGATAAAGGGGATTCCACAAGTAGGGGCGAAGCTAGGATTGTAGAGTTGTGGGGATAAAATTGAAAATTATAAGAATATTTTTTTTAAAAAGTTTGTGCAAAATCTTGGATTTCAAATTTAATGCGGGTGCACTGGGTGTAAATCCTCCACTCCAGAGGCAACGTCTAGGATTTGCGAGCCTCTGCAAATGTCTAAGTTAGGGCATGTTCATTTAAGACAAAGCTTTGCTAGTCTAAGTTCAATTGAATCTTTTTCTTTATCAATGGCAGTGTCTCTTGCTTGAAACTGGCTAATTTCTTCAAGTCCTTGGTAGCAAAATCCGGAGAATTCAGCATCATAAAGAGATAGATCATGTCTTCTCCCTCGCAAAGGAGGACTCCATGGAAGGGTTCGAAGCCTTCCAGTAACATATGGACTCCATTGATTCGTGGGACGATAACAGGTGCTGCTGCATAGCCTACTATGAGATCTAGATGATAGTCACATGTTCGTAGTTATTGAAACAAAATTATCCCAGTTAAGACAAGTCCAGGGGGTAAAATGTAACAAACTGAAATTTTGGGAACTGTAAGAACTGAATTGCAATTATCAGAAAATTCAGGGACTGATTTGTCATAAAAAATATAATAGAGAATTCGAAATAATGCTATTTATCACTACTGAAGTTAAAACACCAGTTTAGTGGCACTAATATAACAGTAAATGATAAGTGCAATTAAATGAGTTACTTAATTCCACCTTTCATATAACTTATCACATAACATTATCTAAATTGGTGTTATTAAACTATTTTAAAAGCGACAAAATAAAGCTTAACTTCCAAATTTGAAATGCTGTGGAGGACTTAGTAAAAAATATTTTTGGCGTATCCAGTGGAAGATCAGATGGTCCCATGTCAATAAATCATATGATAACTCCATCAACCAAGTTGATGGAAGTCTGGACAGCTGAAGAGGTCTCGTTTTTTGGTGTGCTTGAGCAAATTGGTTTTATGGAATTATTGGAAAAGGTTTGACCTTGAGACTGGGCATGCAGAGCCAATGAACAAAATTTGATTCAACGATTACTTGACAATGCTTTGAACAATGCTGGATTGGATATTCCAAGCAATCGAGGATATGAATTATTCTATCATTGTTCATTTGTAGTAGACGCCTATGACTACATTGAAATAGTAAGAACGGTCAATAGGGACTTTCACGAGGGTTATAATTCGAAGTCACCTTCTTCTTTTAGTGGTTATGACTTCAATGATGACTCGTGCAAATTTATCTCTAGACACATGAAAGATTAGGATAATTTAAGATTTATCTAAATTTTACTCGATCTTATCACGTATTTCCTCCATCTTTTGGAAAAAGTATTGTTTTATTTATTTATTATTATTATTATTATTTTTTACTTGAGGTTAGATCTAGTCCCTTTCTAAGTTGTACCATGTTCTCTTTCCATTAATAAAAAATTAAGCCACACAAGTTCCACATTTTTATTTTTTTTAAAATTTTATTTTATTGTACATGTTCCATAATTATGGGGAAAAAATCACAATGCATCAAGAAGAAGAAATAACCCTTTTATTTTTCCTATTGCTACTGATTATTTCATACAAATAATTGAAAACAAATTTAATGTAAATTATAATCTTGAAATTATCCTTGCAATTATCTTCCCTAGAATTAAATCCTTTGAGAAAACTTCAATAGGAAATCGAGAAACGTTTTAATCATGATATTACGATGGACCGTACTTCTTGTACACGGGCGTGTGTACTTAGTGCCCAGATGTGGGACCTCGCCCCATGTGAGGGGGAGAGGTGGGCTCGTGTACACAGGCGTGTAAACGCCCGTGTAGAAAAGGCTTTATCCTATTACGATACACAATTTCACATCCTTGTGCCACCCCCACATGCATGCTCCGATGCTCGCATGCACCCCCACAAACACAAAGGCAGAGAGAATACCCACAAAATAATATAAATTTGTTCTTTCTAACCGTTGGTCCGAGAAATTATAAGAACCCTATGGAGTATATTTGATAAATCTTACCTCTTGGGACATCATTATTCTTGATTTAAATCTTTAGCAAGTTTTAAAAGGCCTAAACACTTGAAAGGTTTTGATATACGTCTTTTTATAAGCAAGCATGTCTCGCTCGCTAGTTGAAACGATAAATTCACTTTTTGTCTGTATATATACATACTTATTCACATAAATCTAATCGTGAAAGTAGATAATACTAAGAACATAACTTATATAAGGTAATTATGCAAGTCCTTTGTAAGTTAAAAACTTCTAATCGTCCACAGAAATAATTATTTTCTAAAATTTTAGGGAACTCAAATATCGTGAAAAAAATAATTACTTCCCTCAATAACCATTTATTCAAAGTATAAGGACACCAGCGCTAATTTTCTCAAACTAGTCCTAACATTCTACAGTAGCATCAAAAATGCAAATTAAAGAACAAAAAAGCCGCAATCCCTGTTTCACTTTCCCATTTGCTGCGCATAATGTTCAAAGCACTAGCACACTAATTTATTGAAAGCAGCTCAAGGAAGTGAACTGAGACAGTGAGAAATCTAAAGATTAAGCTGAAAAATGGGTGTTTCTATTCCTGTTCTTGTAATTATAATATCCCTTCACGCCATTGCCTTCGTACTCGCCGTTGGTGCTGAACGACGGCGTAGCACGGTAGTCTAGTTTATTGCTTTTTGATTTATTATTTCTTTGTTTTTTAGTCAATTTTAGATTTTTTCGATAGGAGTAAATTTTTCTGTGGGTTTGTGTTGAAAGGCAACTGTGGTGCCGGACAAGTATGATGAGCAGACATACTGTTTGTACGGCACCGACGCATCGACGGCGTACGGTTTGACGGCGTTTGGGCTGCTATTGATTAGCCAGACGGTGGTTAACGGCGTCACCAGGTGCTTGTGTTTTGGCAGAGGGATGATGGCTGGGGGCTCTAAAACTTGTGCCATTTTCTTCTTCATTTTCTCATGGTAATGTTTGAATTTACTATATTGTCCTTGTCAGTTCAGTTTATTTACCATTTGTTCCTCTTTTTTTTCTACTGCTTATATATTTTTTTTTTTTTTTTTTTTCTACTGCTTATATGTTACGTGAACTGGGTTCAATAATATGAGTGGGACAGTTGGGTCCCATACAGTTGTTTTGCATTGTCTTGCTTGTCATTAGATGATGACAAATAGGAACGCTGTAGTAATTAATTTGCCACTTATGTTTAGTTTCTTGTTTTTATGCTTGTTGTTCCTTTTTTTTTTTTTTACAAGGTGTCCCGGCTTGCGTCCGACTAGATCCTTGTTCCACCAACTCGGACATGTGATGTTATGTGGGATTGATTTTGCTGTTATATGGCTCATTTAAGACTTTTCATCTGAATTATGTGGGACTAATGAAAGTCACTTCTGATGTCTGTACTTGTTCTTTGGATTCCATTTGTTCTTTCTGCCTCAAACTGGAAAAATAGAGGTCACTGAAGGAGTATTAATTAAGGACACATGCACGTTCGAGGAAAGCTATAACTTATAATTTGAAACCAATCAAAGCAGAATGTGACTCTAGGAACTACAGGAGTCATCTAAGAGACAAAAATCTTTGTACAGGTTGTAATTGTTGCATCATCACTCCATTTCTGAGTTCCTTGTAGAGGTTATTACATCTTGCGAAAAGGTGATACATGCTACTGACATATGCATTGCATGGTTGAACTCAAACTATTTGTTAATAATTTAATCCAAGAACACGGGAAGTTTAGTTTTTAGTTATTTTACCTTTCATCCTTGGCTCCTTTTTATGACCCTCCTATTTTCTTCTGCAAACTGGTTGTTAGACCTTCTTCTACGACATGATGCTGGACTTTGGAAAATAATAAGAAAGTGCTTCACATGTTTGAGGAATGAGCATTGAGTTGCAGTCAATGTTCGAGTAAATCTTCATTTATTATTATTATTATTATGCAGGATCAATAAAATCATTATCAAAACCTAGTGTCTTTTTTTTTGGTATATGTTTATGTAATATGTTAGTTACTCTCTATTACATCAGTTCTTTTAGTAGATGTAGCCGTGGATTAAACAAAGTTGCTTACTCCAAATTTATTAGGAAAAAGACTTGGATTTTTTTATTATGTTCTTTCCATCACTCCTTCAGGGGGTCTGTTTGGTTGAGACAAATGAGAGAGGAACAAAGAAAATAAATACTGGAAAATAAGAAATTTAGAGGAGCAAAGTTTTTATTATTTATTTTTATTTTATTTTATTTTTATTCTTTTTTTTTTTTTAATTTTTTTTAAAATTTTTTTTGCTTTGCACTAGTTTGAGAAGAAAGTGGGAGAAAAGTTGGATTAGAGAAGAAAGCTGTTATATTCTATTTCATTTCTTTTAAACTATATCATGAAAGCCAAGAAAGGAAGGGAACGCTTTCACACTTCAATTATAATATGCATTAAAGAAGATGCTAATACTTGGACAGCCAAAAATGGTATTTTTATCTGTCAGACCCATGTCGTGGGATTGATGAAGACATGGTCATTGCATTGCTACCTAACTCTTTAACGGATGCAAAATGAACTAGGTGGACTTTTTGCAACACATATCAAGCTTGATACTGGGGATTTATCTATGAAGCTTGACATCACAATAAAATTTCTTCGACTAACTTTTTTGATCTTTGAACTCAGTTCTTTCAATCTTGTCTGAGATTCAGCTTCTACTTAAGGCTGGTTGATCCTAAAAATTATTAATTTTATTGTCAGCTCTTTCCTCATCTGCAAAACAGAGCACTGTCCAATATTAAAAAGTGTCTTTCTGTGAAAGGAATAAAATTGATTCATGCGACATTGCTATCTGTGGTGAGCCTCGGTAGATTTAATAAATTTGTAAAACAAAATGTATCAGACAAGTTCCAAAATCCTAGTGATGGCCTTGTATTTAATATGCCCTGAAGAGAATCACCTAATTGTCAAGTATCCAAGTGACCAAGAAATTCCTAAATTATTTTAAGTTAGAGACCTGAATAAAACTATTGCTATTCCATAAATTAGAATAAATCATTTACTCTTAAAATTTAACAGAATGTAATCAATCCTATTGCTTTGTGTTCTGCATCAGTGCATTTTTTACGATTCTATATTTTCGAGGGGAGGGAAAGGATGGAAGTCGGTGGCTAGGGTAGGAGAAAAGGGAATCATTTGCTCTAGTCACTGTCAATCATTTACATCTGGATTTGGATAGACTTGCACATGCAGACGATGAAACTAGTCTAATGTTTTGGTGATTTTGTATTCTTCTGCCACCCAATCCCATATACACTACATACTGAGTTGGTCGATTAGCAGTAATGGCTCATAAATCTGGAAAACTCATCACAGATTCAGAAAGTTCATGCATTAGCTCTATATTTTGACCTGTTCCATGATCTGCCCATGTTGATATACTTCAATTCTTTCATTTTATTAAACCGTGTAAACACGCTGAATTCTTTACATTCACTTGCAACGACATTCATAAAATCACCAGGGTTAGCTTTTTGGGAGCAGAGGCGTGCTTATTGGCAGGATCAGCAAGGAATGCTTATCATACCAAATACCGTGCAAGTTTTCACATCGAGCACTTATCATGTACAACTCTCCGGAAAGGTGTATTTGCAGCTGGTGCTACTCTAACATTATTATCAATGATGGGTTCTATCCTGTACTACTGGTCCCATTCCAAGGCTGATACGGGTGGATGGGAAAAGCATAACAACGAAGGTGTTGGAATGACCACTTCAAGTTTTGCAGAAAATCAGCAGCATCAAAAGAGCAGTGGATTTTAAAGAGTTGACTGGGTTCAATGAGATTTGTGGAGTGGGTATGAAATTTTACTGATATGAAGAGGTCCTTACTCAGCTATGTATGTACTGCTTTTGAAAAGCAAAAGTCAGTGTATTGTATTGGTTGTTTCCTTTTAACATTTGTTCTGTTAATTTTGGTGTCTTAAATTTTTGTTCAAATCCGTGCAACTGTTTGGTTTAAGGTAACAGTTCATTAACCCAAGGCGAGTATTTCAACGACAGAGGACGCATCAGGCGAGAACGGATTAACTGATAGAACAGTCAAGTTTACGTTAAAGGCAGTCATTCAATCTTATTATACTAATTATACTATTAATCAAATTTGTTTGTGTCGATCTTAAAATTCACATTGGATCACTTGGAGGTTCACACCATGATTTTGTAATGACACGTCGATCCAAGACCCAAAAATTCATGTCGATCCACTGGAGACGCCATTTTTAATGACATGATTGAAAAGGTGCTCTCTTGGGCAACACTATCCATAACAACCAATCAAAGGAAAGTCATGATGATCCATCACAATCGAACTCTTCAGTCAATAAAATCTTTTCAAAAGGACAACGGCACAAACCTAGGTCGAACACTTTGACTTGACATAACCAAGACGACAAGCTCGAGTATCAATGACCTATATAAAGGGTGAAGGTCCAACAAGAAACGCCGAATGGATCAACAAAATTAAGCCCAAAAGGTTTCATTTAGGTTACAGAGTTGATGTTCTTAGACTATCAACGTGCCACATGCATATGTATAGACTTTTTATGTGTCTTAAAAAAGTCACCGTTATTCGTAAAATTATCCATTCATAAACATGTCCTTAAACATGGAATGCTCATTACGTCTTCTCAAAACCTTTCATTTAGGAAAATCTTCAAGAAAATAATCCAGTTACTACTTTCCTACATTAATCCATTGAATTATATTTATTAACGCTTTTAGAAAATAGGAATTCACAAAGATTAACATAAGCAGATTTGGTGTGAATTAGAATGGATAAAATCAGAAGTGGGAGAAATTAGCTACATTGTTGAAGAAATTTCGATGGTCGGACAAAAAATATCATGTAATAATTAGTATATAAAAGAACAAAATTGATATTTTAAGATGAAAACTTGAGACTCGATATGGTATGGGAATTCAGAAAGCTCAAAGGAACAGTTCAAACTAAAAACTCGAGCTTCGAATCGAATTTCAAGATTGATATTTTTTCAACGACGAACTACCTTCTTGTAGGGTATATATGTTATGGGTCGTCGAAACGGAAACCGATATTTTTTAACCATTATATGGTTTTCATTACAATAATCATACCAAAGTTACAAACACAAAACAGTACATTAAGAAGCTAAAATTTCACTTTGACATTACATACTCATACTCTCCATACACGCATTCCATAGTTGCCTAATTACTAATATTAATAATTAAAGAAAACATTAATTACTCATATTATATAGATAACTTATACCACGAGATGACAATACATCAACTGATATAATGCGACTGAATTTAATTAGCAACTAGGAACGGAGAGCCACTTTTAGCGAGAGAATTTAACATCTGGGAAATGGAGTGCCACAGGTGCTGGCAACTTTCCTGGCATTGGGAGAGTTAATGAACATTAGAAGAGGAATTAATCGAAATAGGATCGTGCAACATAATCATAAAGGATGACAGGAGGTCGGGATTATTTTATTCATGGGGACCCACATCTCGATTGTGAGTGCTATGTCACCTATTGTGTCAAAGCATATGTACGTTTGGCTTAATTCATCGAAATATACATTCTTATATAACATTATTGTTGACATTGTGTGAGTTGTCAAAATCTGTGTAATTAATTGCTTAAAATTTTGTTAAAATCAATATATAAAAAACCGTCAACTCATAAGAATGTCATTCATGATATCAAAATTAATACACATGTAATAAGATTGTAAGAAGAAACAAGTTGTACCATTCAACCTAATGCAGGTTATGGCTCAATCCATTCGAAGAAAAGTCGCACAATTCAAGTCAATGCATGTTATGGCTCAATCTATTCGAAGAAAAGTGGCACCATTCAAGCCTATGAATTCACATCAAGGCTTAAAACTGCTTAATAACAATTAACAAATCAAAATCATTCAAGTATATTGGAGTTGCTCTTAACACTTTAATTGGAAGTCGAACAATCATTTCACAATCGTTTTTCATGCTTGTTGCCATCTAGCGAAAGCATTCTTGATTTTTAACATATAGCACCTTGCTTGAAACTAGTCGAGCCATTACACATGAAACCGTACGATTTTTTTTTTAATAGAAATTAGTGACACTTGATAAAAGTCCCATTTGAAATTAATCTACATTAACTATATAAAGATGCCAATTATTGAGAAATTAATCACTTAAGAAGGCCTATTAAAAAACAATCGTCGGCACTGCCCAACGAGAATAAAGAGAGAAGCATAATGAGTGTATAATCAGCGGATCTCTTTAACCAAAAGTAAAGATCTTCCCGAGGTCAAACTCACTGCACCGGCCCTGTACACCCCTTTTCTGGGTTATTTTTTTTTTTAAATAAAACTTAATTTGTTATAATTCGATGCGATTAAATTTTTCATACGAAGTGCGATAAACGATGAGCATTCATACCCAGCAGTAACGATACTTTCATATTGTATCTTGTACATGGTATACGAGACGAGACTTAATTGCTCTAATGTAACAAAATTCAACAGAATCGAACCAAAAAATCAATGTTGATTTAGTATAGTCATTTTTCTTACATTTTGAAAATAAAATTAAATTTTATAAAGTATTGTGTAAATTTTCTTGTTTTCCTTTCTTACTTTCTGCTTCAGACAACTAAAAGTGTTGGTTATCCACAATGTATATAAATCAATGTAAATCATATTATTCAGTTCAAAGGTTGATCCACTTGGTAGATTATAAAATAATAATAGAACCAGATTAAAATAAAGTCAGCTTTGTAACTAGAATTGAGAATCAAAGTAAAATCATTGAGTTATCGGTTCTCAATCTCATATCCAATAACCTATTAAATTTTAATTAAAATCGATCCAAACTGACTAGTTCACTCTGAATTTGTTCGGCTCGGCCCTTAATCGCACGAGCTCAGTTCGCGCTTTTGGCGAGCCGAGCTCGTGGTTCGTCTTCAACCGAGCTTGGCTCGTTGGATTTGGGCTAGCTCGGCTCAGCCCACGAGCTCGTGGGCTCGTACAATTTTTTTTTAAAAGTTTTACAAATAAATGAAATAATAGAAAATACTTTTTAAAAAAATAAAAAGTGTTAAAAAATACAAATAATTTAATGAAAACAATTTTTTATTTTTTTAATTTATATCATATTGTAATACTTTTTATAAAGTATAAAATATTTATATAATGAAGACGAATTATTTTTCGAAATACATTTACAAAAAATATAATTTTTTGATTTATTTTTAAAATAGATTAAATGTGAATCCTCCTCCTTTATCCGGGCTTGGGACCGGCTACATCAATTTTAAGTAGGCAGAATTAAAAATTGTATACGAACAACTTGTTGTAACGTGTACAATTTTTTAAAGAAAATTAAATTTAACGATTAAAAAATAAAAAAATTTTGATTAATATAATTAAATCAAATATCACTTACCTGACGACATGCAATTTCAGCGTATTTATCTTGTAGTCGAAAATGAGCGTCCTGTCAATCCTTCCCGCATGTTAACGCTTCCAAAACATCTTCTTTCAGTCGGCTCTTGATATCGGTCAAAACCCTTTTACCTACACTAAAAGCAGACTCCGAAGCAATAGTACTAACCGGAGGTGTCGGCAGATCTTTCGCAATTGTAGAAATAATTGGCTAACGTCTTTCATAGTTTCGCCAAAATTCAATTATTTCTTCTGAACTTTTTTTAATTGTTTTGTCTGTTGGCATATTATGATTGAAGTAATCAATTAATTCGACAGGTATCGCATTTTGAGTTTCGGTCAATATTTGATGAGATGCAAACGTATACGACATGACACTAGATGAACACATTGCAGTTGCATCATATCTAAATGTATTAATGTCTTGAAATAAATTCATTATTTCGACATCATCTTCTTCAATTTCAGCAGAAGGAGTAGGTGTAGAGGGTACCCGACTAACATTCACACCCATTCTTTCTGCATATAAATTATACATTCCACATAATGTTTGCTCTAAATTCTTATAGGTGATAGGTGTATCAAGTATTAAAACTTTATTGATTTGATCAATTATATATTTAGTTCCCGAAATATTATATAGGGGGTCCATTGCGCATGTTAAAGGAAATAACATAGACAGTTCTTCCCAATATTTTCTAAACTTTAATTCCATAGCAATTATAATTTCATTAAAAGCAGATCATTTTTATATTTATGGAATGTTCTTGCAATTATATAAAGGCGTTCAACCACCATACATCTTATGGAATAATAAACACCTAATAAAATCTTTATGGACTCATAAAAAGACGTCAAAAATCGTTTAACTTTCAAAGCTAAAATCCAATCGAATTAATTTAACATACCATCGTCATCACTTCTAACGTGTCTATTGTTATAAAAGTCAGTTATTAAATTTTCGAACCTTCACATGACTTTAATAGCAAGTAAGTAGAGTTTCATCTATGGCTTTCGTTGCTAACAAATGTTTTAGCAGTCGTCACTCCTAGTTCGGCAAAAAAATCTTCAAATACTTGTTTTCTACTAGAAGAGATCGTAATATATACTAATGCATTCCTAATCCTTTGAAGTTCATCATTTATATGTTTTAAACCATCTTACACAATTAAATTCAATATATGACACACACAACGAATATGAAACAAATACCCACCAAAATCAGGTTGAAGTGTCCTACACAATTTATCGACGACTATCTTATTAACACTAGCATTATCAAAAGTAAAAAATCGAATTTTAGTCTCGCAATGATATTCTCTAACAATACTGATAATAGCATTATATATATTATTAGCATTTTAAGAAAACTCAATAATTCTAAAAACAATAATTTTCTTATGCATGCACCAAAGTGGGTCTATATAGTATACGGTTGCAGCTATATATGCTCTTTTATTAACCCCTTCCCATATAACAGAAGATAAAGATATAACACCCCCATATTGTTTCAAATCCATAATTAAT